AGGGTGTCAGTAGGTTGATAGTAGGGTGTTAGTAGCTGGATGGTAGGGTGTCAGTAGCTGGATGGTAGGGTGTCAGTAGGTGGATGGTAGGGTGTCAGTAGCAGGATGGTAGGGTGTCAGTGGGTGGATGGTAGGGTGTCAGTTGGTAGTTAGGTGTCATTGGTTGGTGGTAGGGTAACATGTTGGTGGTAGGGTAACATGTTGGTGGTAGGGAGTAAGTGGGTTTGTAGTAGGTTGTCAGTGGCTGGTTGATGGCATGATATCTTAATATCATCAATATTTGATGATAAAAAACCATCGTCATATATATAAATAGTATAAGTAATATATACAATATGAAGGGCCGTGTTGTATCAGATATACAACCACGAGCCGAAGGCGAGTGATTGTATATCTGATACAACACGGACATTGTATACTACTTATGAAATGTCTAGGTGTATACATTCATGTTCTACTATAATTTTAAAGATAAAATTGAATTTGGCTAAGAAAATGTGAGTTAAAGTTTATGCAAATCAGGACGATTTTGTATCAGATATACAACCTCCTCCACGGACAATGATTTCTATTGTGTTTTCCTCATTAATTATTCATGAGTTTTATAAGAGTAATATAATGCTTTGAACCCAGGTGATGAAGTTTGTTTGAAATGTGATTGTCCTGGAGAGTGTAATATACATGTATAATATCAACAATAATTAGTAATAATTACCAATAATTGTAATATCTGATTCACAGTTGTCACTCATCAAGTGCAATTCACTCAGGTTACTGTCCCCTTCATTCTCAATGTCTTGCTTTTCTTCTTTGAACTTGGCCAACACTTGATGCTGTTCCTCTTTCCTCTGCCGAGCAATTACTCTTCCTGTGTCTATCTTTGCTGCTTCAATACTCTTTTCTGAAGCATAAAGAAGCATAGTTAGAAATTAAGACAAGAAATGATGAAACATAATGGATTTTAGGCTATACATGAATAATGTCCACAATCAAAACTTGTTGACGGTAGGATGTTAGTAGGTTGGTGTTGGAGCGTCAGTAGTAAGTTGATAGTAAGATATTAATAGTAATTTTTAGCTAGTTTTCTCTTCAGTATGATATATAGTAGGTTGATGGTAGGGTGTCAGTGGGTTGATGGTAGGGTGTCAGTAGGTGGATGGTAGGGTGTCAGTAGGTTGATGTTAAGTTGTCAGAGGGTTTGTGCACGTGGTAGACTGTGTCCGTAGGCTGATATAACATTACATAAATATTATAATATTAATTAGTACTAACCAATTATCTTGACTCCTTCTTCTCTCTGTGCTTCTGATTCTGCCAGCCTCATGCTTTTTATGAGCTTTTCCATTCGTTCTCTTTCCATCCTCTTGTACTCAGCCAAAGCATTGGTACTTTCATCAGAAAGCTCAAATTTATCTGCAGCACTTTTGCAGGCCTCTTCATACATTGCTAAGGCTTTCTGCAGCATCTCTCGGGCAGCTTTGAGTGATGTAGAGTTCTCGTTCGCATACTTGATGGCACCACATAAAAGGTCTACATACAAAATTAATTATGAGTAAATCAAAATCAAGTCTAAATATATAAAGATATATTAAAATTTTTCTCCATCTTTAAAATCAAGAATTAAATTAATTCTAACCTCTAACTTCAATACCAACAGGATGGAGGGCTTCAAATCCTGGATTCTGGATGATTTCACTCAGTGTGGCAATTGATTCTTGAATTTTTTCATCTGTTTTGAAATGAAAATGAAATAAAAGCAAATAAAAAAACAACAATAAATAATATGCTTGATAAAATTATTTCAGGTAAAACATGACTGGAAAAGAAAAAAAAGATTCGTATTTATCATCAATTTTATATGTTTTCCTTCATTTTAACAAGTAAGTTAAATCTCATACCCAAGGCTGGTTTAGACATGACGACATTTCTGTGTGTATCCAAGTTTTCCTGGTTATTGTAAAACAATCCTCCGACGGTCTTGGTCGGAAGCTCCTTAGCCTGCGGGTCACATAAATCAAGTATTTAATAAATCATAGATGTTTCAAAATAATAATCAAAAATAATTTGAAAGATTTCATGGTCAAAATTTTAATCATGATATTTTTATCCAAAATACCTTAATAATATCTTCCCTATCTCCTCTTGCGTCATTGTTTTCTTCTTCTTTTTCGTGGCTCGAGTTAACAACTTCGATGCTCGAATCATCTTGTTGTCCTTCAGCATCGACGAAAACTAAACTGGATTCCGTATTGAAGTCCTCTGCCACTACACCAGGAAGCAAAGTTCATTAAAGACAAAAAAATACTTTCCAGAACGTTAGAATGTGTAAAATCCTCCAGTTTAAGGAAGAAAAGAGTTAAGAAAAGAGTGTTTTGCTATAGAGCTATGATCTGTCCTTGACCAAACGAAACGAATTGCAACTGGAACCCACTCAGCTGTCTTGCATTAAGGATCAAAGTCTTTGCAAAGTGTAGCATCATAACAGATAATTCTGAACAATAAATGATATCGATACAAATAACAAAATAATACTCACTGCTTCTGCTGATTACAAGACTGCTTGTACCTCAATTCTAACAATAATATGAAATACTGGCTGCGCACGAAGGATTCTTATGCTGATAAACAATGCTGAACTTTCTAGGAAAGTCCCATAACATTACGACAAATTCTTGGAATCTAGTAGAGAGAATTTGTAAGACAGGAATTACAAATTTATTGATCCTAAAAAAAATTGAATTAGTAAACTTTAAATATTTTCTAGATATGATTAATAGACGAGTTTTTATGAAGAAAAAATAAAAAGAATAAGATTTTAAGGCATTTTCAGAAGGGTAAAACATAATACCTGAGTCTGATAGCAATAGATTCTCCCAACATATAATCTCTAAATGCCAAAGTTAGATGTTTGGTCATTTGTATCTTCTAGTATTTCTAGAAGACGTGGTAATATTTGGTCTCAAAATAATAGAGGCAAATGAGTCAAGATTTTCCATACGCCAAATACCAAAATAATATGATAAATAATAATAGCATAATAAAAAAGACAAAATATTTATTTATTTTTTGTTAAGAACAGCGCGCAAAAACAATGCTTCACAAGTTCAGAATGCAATCAATATATATTCAACAATTTTAAAACGTGCAAAAAGTCTATTATTGATAGATAAAAATGAATCTGATATATGATCATTGATTTTTTGTGGAAAGAGCTTTACGTCATCCCATTCTTTGCCTTGGCTACTCAGGCTACCTTCCTTGCGGGAAACGCGCGGGATTGACTCTACCTGTGGGATAAACCTCGTTTTAAAACAAAGATGGCGCACTAGTAAAGGATTTTTACTTGGTGCTCCATAATTTTCAACCTTTTATACATCTCTTTATCGTACGAATTTCATTCAGAGCCATTTAGTACTACTCTTAAATCTATTGACTATCGTGTAGTCGAATATCAGCTTGACTGAGTGCGACATTAGCTAAAAAAATGCAAGATGAAGTAAAGTAGTCTTCTGAAATTATGGATGTGGACCAGTTTTTAACATCGATTTTTCCAACGCCAGAGAAAGAAAATGTTGCAACTCCAAGGTATTTCTTCATAAAATTTTATACATATCATTTTGAAATTTTACAAGCCATCTTCATGCATACCCTTTATACAGATCTTTGATACAGATTTAAAACTGAAAGCAATGACCACACAGACTACTAATACTGTTCCATGTTGTTGATATTTTTTTGTAGGAGATTGCTTGAATATAGTACGCTACAAGAACACATCGATGACATTCTTAACCACTATGAAGACACCACACAACCAGGTATATATTTAACGCATTTATAACGCAACATTACCTTTTTGATTCATCTGTAACATTAATATTTTTATCAGGGAGGGTCAGGAAGCTGGGAGGACTGGTAGGAGTTGCCAAGCGACAGAAATAATACATCAAAACTACCTATAAATTTCATCTTGCACCCCCTCCCTGACAATGTTTTCTTTAATATTTTCTCCTACAATTTACCATTTGACCTTCTGTCATGCACTCTTCTTTATCTATCCATGTCTATAGTATATGGTGTAGTGGCGAGAGCATTTGCCTCTTACCAAATTGAAGCAACTATTGAGTTTGATTCTTAGCCTTCATATCATATGTGGGTATAGTTGCTTTTTGGTTTTCTCCTGTGCTTCTATGGTTTTGTCCAGGTTTTTTGGTTCCTCCCCAGCAAGAAATCAATTCTTAAATTCAAATGGAAGAAGAGCCACTGTTATAGTGCAACTACTATAACTGGGGCCACCACGACAGCAAGAACCAAACAAATTGTAGAATGAAAACAATACATCCCAACTTTGGGTAGTGTAGCCAATTAGAAAGCTGCAGAAAACAATAGTCTTTCAACATATCTTTTTATTTCCAAAAGAAAATGATGATGGCTATCTAGTTGTTTACATGTAACATCAGTGTGAAATTACCATTCTCATGCCGTCCAGTTCTGATTGTACCCAAAGATGGAATGCATTGTTTTCATTTTACATTATAATTGGTTAATCTCTTGTCTAACTGGTCTAAGTGGCCCTGGTTACCGTAGTTGGACTGTGAATCCCATTAATTATTATTTTTATTATTAAATAAAAATAGAACAAGATCAAAGAGAAAGGGCAATGAATGATGGCAGGATTGGAGCAGAAATAGTTGGCATTGACAAGAACAGCCTCTGTGGATCTATGAATATCAAAGACAATATTGAGGTACTGTAATGAAGTGATTACTATAATTATAAGGCTACTTATCTGCTACTGTCGATATCCTTCCAGTCATAAGCCCACTAAATATAAGCCTACCACTCGCGCACCTATGGTATAGTATTGATGATGCATATTTTATATTTTACAGTTTATTGTACTGACAATGTACAGTGTATATGCCCACTAGCTTTATGCCCAAAATCCTTAAAATAGAGTATAATATATACCAGGGCTTTAACCAGGATTTTTATAGTATGGTATATATATATTAAATATAGATAATGCACTGAATTAATGTATTATTTCTGCCTCATTTATAGCTTGAAAGTCAAAGTAACTTCAGCAGTGTGAGATCAAGTATTTGCATCTGCAAAGGTAAGGTGACAAGATAGGATGTTCTTTCCTGAGTAACCCTCTTTAGCTTAGGCATATTGTTTTCCCATTTCAGACCA